TCCCCCCCCCTTCCCTACTCTCCCCCTCCTTCGCAAAGAAGGTTCTTCATCTCCCTTTCAGTTTCGCTTGCTCGCTTTCCGTCAGGGACCGATCTCTCTCACAGACGGTGAGAGGCACCATCCAGATGTGGCTGGCAGGGCTTCAGGGTTTCCAGATGTGCAGCTGCAGCGGGCGGGGGGTGAAGCAGCAGTGAAGTAGGGGACACGCAGTCCAGCTGCGGCGCAGTCAGGCCCCCACATGCCTCAGCTGCGCTTCCTGCTGCTCAGCGTTCCCTTCCATGTGCCTCCTTTGTTCTTTCTCCGCTTTGTTCCTCTGGCCGTTCTCAGCGCTGCTTCTGCTGCGTCTTTGTGTTCCCGCTCCCAGTTTCTGTTTATTTCCTGTATTTTGGTCTTAAACCCTTACAGATGGGCACGGCTGTGCACAGCTCTTGCACACAATCGGGAGTTCCAGTATATCTTGTGCTTTGACAAAAGCATTGAGAAGCACATACAGTACGAAGGAATTAAGAACAGTTACAAGCGAATTGAGGCCATCTGGTCTGTCTGGTAGTTGGCAGTTAATCGATTTAAGGGTCTGTTCCAGCCATTTGTTGAAAGAAACCAGGGTACCGGCTCCACCACCATGGCTGGGTGGCTTGTTCCACACTCCCACCACCCCTCAGGTAAAGACGTGGCTTCTGTTCTCAGTTTGAAATGCACTTCCACACAGTTTCCTCCTTGTGCCTCTAGTTCCTGTTTCACTGCTCACGCTGAAGGAGTCCGCTGGGGTGAGTTTATCAGTGCCTTTGAGGATTTTGAACGCTGGGACCAGATGGCCTTGTAACCTCATGTGCTTGAGACTAAAAAGTTGTGTTCCCTTTAGCCTGTCTGTGCAGGACATTCCTTTAAGCCCCAAATGGATGTAGTTGTTCTCTGGCTGGATTCCTGAGGAGCAATATCTGTTTTATTACCTGGTGGACACAATTGCTGTCAGTATCCTAAATGATCTTAATACTGCATTTAATAATTTTACCTTGATTTAAATTCTGCTCTTTTAAATGTTTTACATTTTTTGTTTTGCTTCCCCCCCTCATTGTCTATAAGAAGTAAATGAGAAAGTTTGCACTGGTTTCTGTAGTGTAAAGGCTTGACTATAAAGCATGTGCCCATCACAGAGATTACCAACCAGCAATTGGCGGTGTGGTGGCTCTGTGGCTAAGGATCTGCCACTGTGGCTGGAAGGTTGCCAGTTTGTATCCAGCGGCCGGCAGAGGAATCCATCTCCATTGGGCCCCTGACCAAGGCCCTTAACCCCAACTGCTCCAGGGGTGCTGTATAAATGGCTGACCCTGTGCTCTGAACCCAAGCTTCTCTCCCTGTCTGTGTGTCTCATGGAGAGCAAGCTGGGGTATGTGAAAAGACAAACTCCTAATACAAGTAATTGTATATGGCCAATAAAGTCATCTTATCTAATACAGCAGGCTGGACTGGAGCATCCAGGGTAAAGTGCCTCACTCAGTGGTACATCGGCAATGTCTGTAGTGGAGACTTGAGCCCATAACCTGTCAGTCCAAACTCTGCTATGCTATGCTGACTCCTTGAAAGTAAAAAATCTAACATATTGTTTATAATTTATTTTAGTTTTTCACTGTAGAGGCCACTGATCCTAAGGAAATTTAGAAATACGGGTTCTGTATTTAGAGGTTACTTTAAAGTAAAAACAATATTCCTTAAAATATTTTAAGGTTGCTCTTGACCGAAGCTAGCTTATTTTTATGCTAAGATCATACTCTGTTAAACCTCCACTGGCACTCCATTTAAAGCACTTTACAGGTAATGGGGACTCCCCTCCACCACCACCAGTGTGTTTGCCCCTCCTGGATGATGTGACGGCAGCCATAGTGCACCAGAACGATCACCACACACCAGCTCTCAGTGGGGAGGAGAACAGAGTGATGAAGTCAGTTCATAGATGGGGATTATTAGGAAGCCATGATTGGTAAGGGCCAATGGGAAATTTGGCCAAGACACCAGTGTAACACCACTACACTTTTCAAGAAACACCCTGGGATTTTTAATGACCACAGAGAATCTTACATTTCATCTGAAAGACAGCACTTTTTTACAGTATAGCATCACCATTGCTTTACTTGGGCATTAGGACCCACACAGACCTACTGGGCCCTTACTGGTCCCACTAACACCTCTTCCAGCAGCAACCTTATCTTTCCCAGGAGGTCTCCAATCAAGGTACTGGCCAGGCTCACACCTTCTGAGCTTCAGTGGGCTGTGAGTTGTGAGTTGCAGGGAAATGTAGCTACTGGCTGAGAATTACTGTATGTCTGAGAATATTTACATATATATATATTAACAAGGCCTCCAGCATGTAACAGGAGTAACTTCCATAAAGTATACACATATATTTATTTATGTATGCATAAACAAAGTATAGATATACAATTTTTATGTATTTGTGTTATACATATACATGTATAGTACATATACTATACATGTATATACAACATGGAATTAATTGCATGAATAAACAAATTCTGCTTTTTTCCTTCCACAGTTGAAGTCTGGAGTAGTCCTCAGGATTCTTGACTCATGACCAAAACACTGTGTTTGAACCCCAGGTGACACTCCTAAGCCTAACATACAGTGACTAGTGGACAGGAACTGCCCTCGTCTAGCCTGGGACTGGACAGGACTGGACATGGGAGATCTTTGAGGAAAACCAGGTTGCTGTTGTTAGGGGCACTGGTGGACCAGTGGTGCTCTTCCCCCTGGACCAGACTTTCCAAACCAAAGCCCCTGCACTTTCATTCCCTCTGTTCTTAATTGACATAATTCGCACAGGTTAATTATTTTTAAGTATTATTTTAATTGTCTACATATCTTTGCTACCTATTTAATCACTGATGACAACTTTTATTTATTTGGTCATTTTGGACTGTGAGGATTATTTAATTATTTTTATTTATTAGTGGTGCAGAATGGCCACTGTGTGTCTCCAGGTGGGACTGCTGGTGCAGGATGGTGCTGTGTGTCTCCCAGGTGGGACTGCTGGTGTAGGATGGCGCTGTGTGTCTCCAGGTGGGACTGCTGGTGTAGGATGGTGCTTTGTGTCTCCAGGTGGGGCTGCTGGTGCAGGATGGTGCTGTGTGTCTCCAGGTGGGGCTGCTGGTGCAGGATGGTGCTGTGTGTCTCC